CATATGCGATCGGCTCGACTGAGCCGCTCGGCTGTGATCGGGAGCTGTACGGGCTATTGTGAATATAGTGAATAGCCCGTACAGCACCCCCTCGGTTCTCCTGAACCGAAGGGGTCCTGGGGCCTAAGCTAGCCGAAGGATCGGCCGAAGCTACGGCCAGATCCTTCGGCAGCTTTGTGAATAGACCCCTAAATGGCTTTGGACTAGAGATGAACATACCACGTTTTTTTTTTAACCAGCTTGGTGAGGATATCTGTTAGATTTTTATGGTTCAAAGCAAAATATATGAACAATTTAAATTTCTGGTGACCTATTACTGGATCTTCTATGCAGTTTTGCATGTCCCCCCATACTTTCATGTCACTATCCAGGAGAGGTATGCCAAATAGAGTAAGCAACAAGTCTTACATTAAGCCAGAACAGAACAAATTTCCTATTTGGTCTGTAAGAGAAGTTATAGGTCACATGTCCTAAAACTAGTTCTAGGTTCAAAGTTATGAGACAAGGTTGCTAAATTTAGACTTGCTCATGCTGGAAGTGAGGATATTAAGAGGGTACATAATTTTGATGTACAGCATGTTTAGCGGTGATGGCAACATCGGGACTAAACTTTTTACTGTAAACTCCATAACAAGGACCAGAGGCCACCACCTAAAATTGGTGGAGAAAAGATTTATCCACAAAGGGCATAGAGTATTCTTTTCAGTTAGAGCGGTTACATTTTGGAACTCTCTGCCACAAGCAGTGGTATCAGCAGAAAGTATTGAATCATTCAAAAATCAATTAGATACCATCCTAAAAGACCGTAACATACAGGGGTATGGGTACACTTAAATACTAGACCACACAGGGACTCTTATACACACACATGCACAACAAACAAACACACAAAACACACACATTGAACTTGATGGACTTGTGTCTTTTTTCAACCTCATATACTATGTAACCATGTAACCATGTAGTTATCTACCACAGGCTTTGATAACATTAGTGTTCTTTTGTAGTTATACATGTCTAAAACTTTAACTGACATTTGGATTTTCACATACTTAATTTTGAACTATTTTCTTTTTTGTTCTAACAGGTTGTAATTAAAAGGCGTCCCCTCTTCTATGCTGTCAATCTTCTTCTTCCTAGCATGTTCCTCATGGTCATGGACATAATTGGGTTCTATCTTCCTCCTGACAGTGGAGAAAGAGTCTCATTCAAAATCACCCTACTTCTAGGTTACTCTGTCTTCCTCATTATTGTTTCAGACACTTTACCAGCTACTGCCATTGGAACCCCACTAATAGGTACAGTAGAGGAGTTTATTTGTGTGCTCTGGGGTCCTGTCTTACACAAATATGGCCAAATGTTTGTGGATACCTGACCATCATACCTATTTTAGCTTGTTGGACATCATGTTTTAAAACAATGGGCATTAATACACAGTTGTTTTTTTTTTCCTTTGTGGCTATAACAACCACCATTTTCTGGAAAGGGTACAAGATTTTGAAGTGTATTTGTGGGAATTTGTGCCCATTCAGCCTAAAGAAAATGTATGAGGTCAGGTACCAATATGGATTAAGAGACAACTGGATAAAAAGACCTAGCCTAAAGTTGGTGTTCAAAATCACACCCCCAAAAGTGTATTACCCATTCTACTGCCAATATTTGTTAATGGAGATTGCATGGTTATGTGCTTGATTTTATGTACCTGTTAACAATGGGTGCAGATGAAACACATAAAAACAGTCATCTGGAAGGGTGTCCATATACTTTTGGTCATATGGTGCATTTGGTTGACTTTTGTCACATCTACTAAAAATTATTTTTTTAAATACTGTAGGTAAAAGATGGAGAAGGGGAATAGAGGAGAGAATACAGCAAACACAGTGCTCTAGCCATATAAGCAATACCCCCAGAAACATTTACTCTTTGTCTTACTGAATAGTAGAGATGTTCAGGTGCCAGTTCAGATACCAGTGCCAATACTTGGCATTTTCATGAGCACTACCAGGGTCCCAGAAGTTGCAGCTGTGCCATGGCCCTGGCGCTCCATCACTGTCCTGAAATGATTCGTCTGTATAGTTTTTAAAAAACTGTCACATGACACTAAACAAAAATGTATCAGTACTTGTATCTGTGAGGACTTGGACAAGTCCCAGTACTTGGTCTGGAAAAATGGCATCGGTGCATCCCTAACATGTATAAATATATATATATATAACACAAATCATATGTTAAAACAGGGATGCACAAATCCCAGGTGCTCCATATGCTTAAAAATGGCAGCTGCTTCCTAAATTTGTTGTTTTTCTCTAGTCTAGTCTTGGAGTATCTGTACATGTACTTGTACCAAGTAAGGTACTTGTGATCTGAACATCTCTACTGAATAGGTCTAGGGCTGGATTTACCATTAGTAGACTTACCAACAGTAGGTGTGTGCCCATAGATGGCAGAGACAAAAAGGTGGCTTTTACATCATGAGTAGGGATCACTCTTCTAGTATAATGTTATGTACACATTATCACAATATTTTAAGTCGGATTAGAACCAGACAGAACAGGAAACAGTTCTTTTTTAAAGAGGTGATTCTAACATAGGTGTGTTAGTTAAGGTGTCAAAGGTTGTGTGTCTAAAGGTTCCAGTGATGAACATATTGTACATACCACAGTAGGTCAATAAGAATTCAAATATCTGTTAGTTTGGCTGGGTATAAAAGACAGCATCTCACCAGTTCTTTACTAACCCTCATTAAAAAAAGCATGATTGACCTTTGGGAACATTAGTTCCCTTGGCTTCCTTGCTAACCCTTCACTGCAAAGGTACAATACTCCTTCTATGACTTCCTGCTTGTCAACAGATACCGTCTAGAGTGTTTCATTGTTTGATGAATAATCCTAGTAAAGGGATGAATTGTTTTTCTATGTGAGACATTTTCATCTGTTATTAGTTTCTCTCCTTGAGCAAGAAGGACTATTGTGTCCCTGGGTCTAATTACTTTTCCAAGAGTGTTGCTATTTTATTACAGCTAAAAACTGTATCAGTACAGGACTATCAAATAGCAAAATGATGTCTGAATATTACTAAGATGTCTTTGCACAATAAAAATTAATGATCTGAACATATACATCAATGTCTTTGAGGTAATAAAAGGAAACAGATGCAACCAAGGAGAGCACATTAGAGTCAAGAAAAAAAGAGAAAAAAGGAAACATCTGGTGTTTAAACAAATAGACATTTTAAGTAGTTATAGCGGAATACCAATATCTGTTTGTGTGATGCATAATGCATAGAACAAAATGGGTAGGAGTGTGCATGGGTAGAAGTGTACATTGAGGATGATATACTAAAGGAGCAAAAGTTCACCTGATCCATTGGAGCTGTGTTCACCTAAAATACCCAGTTATGTGCAGGTGGGGGAAATAATTCCCTATTTTTCATTTCACAAATCTGATTGGACATTTGAAATGAACACAGCTACACTTGGGTACATAAACATTATACTACTTTATGATCAACCCCAGTATATGTGTGTTTTTTCCACAAAACCTTGATTCAAAATTATTTTTAATGTTTGCATTTTTTATTACTGTTATGCTGAAGCATGTCGCCATGTCCTATCCAGAAACCACTTCCTTTAATGATTACAGTAAGTTGAAATGAGAAACAGAAATGGTTTCTGAGGGCCCTTAGTTTTCTAGTTATGCCTTTGACAACTCCTGTAGCATGTTTACAATCTTTGAGCATGTCCTGTAGCAGGTCTGCAGTCTCTGACCATTTTTTGTAACATGCTCATAGTGTCTGACCATTTACTGCTGCATGCCTGCCACCCCTAACAGCTTTCAGTAGTACTACATTCGCTAAATATGATGTGCAACCCTTTTGTGATGTCAGGGGCTGCAATTGAGGCCTCCTTTATCAAGTAAGCTGATCAAGTATTTCAGCAAAGACAGAACTCCCTTTGGAATATTGAAGATGCCCCAGTCTGTACAACAACTTCTTTGACTTCAACTAAACCCACCTAAAGTGGCATAAATTATTATGCAAATACTAACTTAAAGTGGAACTGAAGACAATAAGGGATAAGGGAGCGTTATTAAAAATCTGTTTTCAATTGAGATTTCCCCTCACTTCCTGTCCAATAGCCCCAAAATGAGTAGCCATTAATACCCACTCTCTAAAATGCTGCTTGTTTAGTAGAAAAAATATCCAAATGTGAAAACAGCTTAGAAAAACTCATAGATATGCATAATCAGCACACCAAAAAGAAGATTAGGGATTGAAACTGATAAATGTATTTCAGTAATTTTCTGCTGAATGCTAAGTGAGAGGGTCTGCATGATAGAGTCATGTGATCAGTCCAAGTACTGTAATAATAGAACATCACTGGGCCTAGAGCAGAAAAAGGCAATTTTGGGGGTGTTTGTATTTGCATACAGAATGTTCCTGGAGTCCAGGTTTAAAAATAATTTGTGTATCAAATACGCATGTTAGATTTTATTAGTGAAGCTTTCCTTTAAGTATTTTTAAATCCATTAACAGGTTGCAAATAAAATCTTTTTGAGCTGAAATGTACCAGGATTCTGTTTTACTGTTTGCATCTAGGGAGATGTAGTAATAAGTTACTTCAGTGCTTCTTAATACACAATGCTATAAATGGCTTGAGGGCATTACTTTGGGCCTCTAAGGATGTCAATGAAAAAGTAGGCTGTTACATTGACATTTCCTATGCTGATAACAATGTTGTTCTGTTTCTTTGTTGATGATGTATTTTTCTCTTAATTTGGTAGGTGTCTACTTTGTTGTTTGCATGGCACTGCTAGTAATCAGCTTGACTGAGACAATATTGATTGTCCGACTGGTACATAAGCAAGATCTCCAACCTCATGTTCCTGAGTGGGTGAAAAGGCTGGTACTGGAAAAGATTACACTGCTATTATGTATTAGGGACAAGAAGAAATTTGGCACCTCTCAAATCCACAGTTCTAATATGTCCCGACAAATGGAGAATAGCAGCACAGGTAATATGTTTAACTATTTTTTTAAGTTCATCGCAGATTGGCTGATTAAGCTGTCCGACACCTTTACTTCAAGACTTCCACCTATGTTTTCTGCAACTCATCACTGTCCAAGGTGACAGACAAAACTGCCCATTTTACAGTGTTTAGTACATACTTTTTTCTATTATACAGTATTCAGGATAAAAAAATAAATACATTTTGACATATATATTTTTTGAATCATTATCAAGTGTTTACACTAGGAGTAAAGTGTATATTGTCAACTGCTAAACCAGTAGAGGTGGTTAGTAGGGATCCACCGATATATCGGCCAAAAATGTCACTTTTGGCAACATTTTCTGGCCAAAATAGCGGTGCATCCATTCTTTCTTTCCTCCCCGCTGGGCGCTGCTCTGTGTCCCAGCGGGGTGGAGAGAAACTATCACAGGTGACCGAGCGGTGTTGGAGGAGAGCTCTGTGAGTGGCCAGAGTCTCTCCTCCCTGCACCACTCAGCCTCCTGTCATAGATCAGGAGAGTGGTGTGGTGGCAGAGACAGCCATTGCTGTCTCAGGAGGCTGAGCTCTCCTCCACTCCTCCAGCATCACCCCGCCCAGCCACTTGTGACAGTTGTCAGGAAGGAGAGCAGTACAAACACTCAGTAATCAGTGATCCCTGAGCGTTTGTAAATAATTGTGGACATAGTATGTTTACTATATCCTCAATTATGAATAAACGGGAGTGATCTACATCACTTCCCGTTCATTCATGATTGAGGATATAGTAAACATACTATAACCACGTTATGAATGAACAGGAACACTAAGCATGGAAAATTCCTGTTCATGTATAACAGGGGCTGCAGAAAAAGAGATTGAGGACTCTGTGTTCTCAATCACTTTTTCTATTTTAAAAGGGAAATATCAGGGGTCTGTTTAGACCCCTAATATTTCCCCGAAGCCCCTAAAAGTAAAGTAAGAAATTAAAATATTTAATAAAAATGAATAAATAAAAATATAAAAATACAAAGTTTATCAAAATAAATACAAATAAAATATTTTTTACAAATTTGAAAAAGTTAAAATAAAAAACATTTTCGGTTTCGACCTGACATTTTTTTTCATTTCTGTTTTGTTTCGGTTTTTAAATTCTCATTTCAGTGCACCTCTAGTGGTTAGTTTATCTCTGTTTGTATCACATTTGAGGATGTTCTATTGACTGAATTTTAGAAAACTCAATGACTATAGAAGAAAAATCTTAAAATATATAAAATAACACATTTTATGTCTTATAGCTAAGCTGGCCCACTACAACTCGGAAAACACTAAAGAATATGACAGATCAATAGGAGTCCTTCTACCTACAAAGGAGAGCTCTGTAGTTGTGGATAGCATCCTCCATGAAATTGCATCCATCCGGCAGTATTTGGAAAAGAGAGATGAATACCGTGATATAGCAAAGGAGTGGCTACAGGTTGGCTATGTCCTCGATGTTCTACTTTTCCGCATTTATTTGGTGGCAGTGCTGGCATACACAGTTACCTTGGCAACTATGTGGTCCTACTGGCAACATGCCTAAAAACTCACTTGAAGGAAGTGTGCTGCAAAGCCTTATTTAGCATGAATTATGTATGTTAAGTTTAAAGAGAACCAATCATAAATAGGCATTAACTAGAATCTGAATGTTCCCTCTTGTTAATATAGTGCAGTCTAACTTCTCAGGGATTGGTGTCTGTGCTTTTATTTATTGTTATCCTTTTTTCTGCCAGAGCAGAAATCAAGCAGCCCGGTATCACGCTATAAGCTCCCTGTAGAGGCTCATTTGTCACCTGCCTGAGCTCAGGGATGACATTTGCTCTGTGTCCCCTTGCTGATTTGAAAGTTCTTACTTTGACTCTACAGGGGGCATGTTGGAACTCTGCAGGAACACCACTGCTTCCACACAAAAATCAAGGCTCATTCTCTGCTGCATGCTGGCAGGAACAGGCTTTTCTACTTAAGCAGTGGCTGCTTTCTAAAGAAAATAAACTGTAAGACTTTGCACACCTTCTGTTTTGAATTACCTGGAAAGTATTTATCTGATTTAAACCTAAAGTTCCATTGACCTTTAAGGATAAATCTAGTGATATGCTTTAATGTATGAATTAGTTGTACATACTGATTTATATATAGTAATAAGATTAACTAAGTTTCATTTTTAAGCTACATAAATATATTAGCTCCTTTACACAATGTCATTATATGATGGATTTCTCACTTCTGTCAAGGTGCCATTAAATTTTGTGCACATAGCCATCCTCTCTGCCATATCTCTCCCTACCTATTTTTTTTGTCGAAACTGAATAAAGAAAGAATGTGTCATATACCTTAAGGGGAGCCTGAGATGATGAGGGAAGCCTCTTCTGCTACTCCAGTCCAAATACCCCTGGCTGGTGGAAACTTGCAGACAGCGAAATACCAGGGAACAGGCAAGAGAGAAGTCCAGAACAAGTTGAGGTCAAGTAAGGCAGAGCAGGAGCACAGGTCAAACAAGCCGGGTCGGTAACAGGTGATCGTCTCAGGAATGCAGGTTTCATGAACAAAGGGACAGGGTATAGCTGAAAATCAGTCAGCAAGGAAGTCAAAGTGTCTCAGCCTTGACTAGCCCGATTGGCGCCATTGTTAGGAATGTAAGTAAAGTATGGACACCGGCACTCCAAAGCAAATCCAGTATGTCTATTTATTCACGTACTTGTTGCTAATGCAAAACACCAGATACAACATTTTGGAGTCTCACAGGATCCCCTTCATCAGGCAAACAAGTGATGATTGAGGAATGAGCACGTGCATGTCCTTGCACATGCCATGGAGCGCACATGCCCACGTGAGGCACGTGGCCACACACAATCCTCTGTGCAGGATGATGCACATGCACACATGCATGTGTGGGTGCCCGTCCAGTACTCCGGCCACACAGGCTGGCTCTGGCTTCATGACAGAATGTTATGAAGAAAGACTGAGCAGTGAAGCAGAGCACACAAAATACAATATTTCATTATATTGCCCTGCTCCATTTCTATATCTCATCCATGTATTTTCTCGCTTTTACTAAATGATGATTGGAGCGGGGAGAACTGGCAATGTACACCTTACCTTTATAAATATGTTATGTGTACCTTTTTAGGTACATTTTATTGTAGGTGTTCTTGAAAAAAAAAGTGAGTTCTCAAGTTTAATTCATACATCTAAAAATGTGATGAAATTCCCTGATGTTGGCTTGTGCTTTAGATATGTAGACAAGTGGACTTACTTTACACCTCAAGTTCAGCCAACACTTTTTATTGAGTTTTAAAAAGAGCATGGAAGGGTTGGAACCTCTGTCAGGTTTAGATTGATGGCTGTGTCCTTACTAGAGGGAGTTTCCCCCACTTCCTATCAGGACAGGAAGTTATGGTAAATCTCTCCAATAGGTGCACAGACAAAGCCAAAAACACATTTTAGTAGAGTGAGGGAAGGATTAGAACTTCTGCTAATGTTTCTATTGCTGTATATGTCTTCATGTTCCACTAATAATAAATTCTTGACAGAATTTCTAACTCACCTTCTGTGTCAAAAAATGAAAAACTTTTGGCTGGTGTTTGGCTTTAAAATGAATATTGTTCTACAAATAATTTGTGGTGACTCATATAATTACTAGCAAAATGAAATGTCTGTTATCCCTTTTAGATTGTAAGCCCTCATGGGCAGGGCCCTCTATACCTTGTCTTGAATTGTATTGTACTTGTATGTCTTCCTTATATTGTAAAGCGATGCACAAACTGTTGGCGCTATATAAATCCTGTATAATAATAATAATAATTTGTATCCTTATAAAATGCTTGTTATAAAATAAAACCAAACTTGAACTGTCATAGTGATTTTGAATATAGTTTATCATGAGAAAGACCAAAAGAGCACACATATGGCTGGTCATAAAATGCCATACATTCACAACCATGACACAATCATTGCAACATATATGATTCAAATTAATAAAATGTCAATATATATATATATAGATATATAGATAGATATATCTATATATATCTATATAAAATATTTGAATTGAGCATAACACTGATTGAATTGAACATAGCACTGATCGAATTGAACATAGCACTGATCGAATTGAACATGGCACTTAACTGAAAACGGAACTTATAACTATATTTGTAAAGTTGTTAGGTGCATGCTTTCAGGTACAAAAATATCAGTGTAATGAGCACATGCCAATCTACAACATTTTCAGTTAAAATATGTTCATTCTAGTACTTATAAAAGTCATCACCCCTAGGTTGCATAAAAGGGATTTTGATGCAAGAGAAAAGACTAGTCTCTTTTAGTAAATTACTGTAGAAAACATAAATCACTTGCAAACCAACATATATCAATGTAAATTAATGTAAATTTGTAAATCTGTACCATATATGTATGGTACTTACTATTTTTCTGACTGTACGTGTATTATGGTTTCCCCCTAACGCTGACACTATGTACAAAAACTTTATTGAGAGCACAAAAGACCATTCAGGAAACTCTGCAAGATGAACATGAAAAAGAAAATGTAAAAAAAAAAACAAAAACTAAATGAAAGGAATACTTATTTAGGCTCAATCCAGTAAGATGGATGAAATAAATGATAATTTTCTCCTAAAAAATATCCAATTCAAATTAAAATAAATATTTCTTAGTACAGATGTTTGGCATTTAACCACTAAAATACTTATTTTCTCATAAATTATAATTTTATTACCACCTCAAGCAGCTCCATTTCTTGCTCTACTCACTAGGCACCAAACATAATATTCAATTATATGTGAAAGTATTTATTAATTGACTTTTACAGTCAAAATAATTAAAGAACTGATAGAATAGAGTATGTGCCCAGTGGTGGTACCAGGGTGGGTTTCACCCAGTGCAGCCACTGCACTTGTGTTATGACGTCCGTGGTGTGACATCATCATGCAGGCATGGTGATGTATTTCATCATGTATTTCATGTATTTGGTGATGGACACCAGCAAAGAGAGAAGTGGATATTGACCCGGCGGGATCAGGTATGCCACTGGGTGTCCCCCCCCCCTTTGTGCCACTGTTGGGCTTTTGGTACATGACTGAGTGCCCAACTTAGGCAGTGACACCAAAGTAAGCCAACCTGCTATTAGCTATTGCAATTTGAAATACCCAATAGCAGACTGGCTATTGAAACCCCTCCCACTGAGCAGAGGAGCAAACCTGAAAGATAATGTTCTTTCTCAGGTCTGCTCCTCAGCTCAGTGGGTGGGCACCGAAGCCAGCAAGTTATTGGCAATTGCAATTTAAAATAGCCAATAGCAGGCTGGCTATTGTTCCCCATTATTTACATTCTGCTGCTGTCCACAGAATCTAGCCGCTGGCCAGCAGCAAAATGTAGACAAAGAATTGCCTTAGCGACTAAATACATTTAGTTGCTATTGACATTTCAAGGGTGTAATTTTTTAGTGTGCATCAAGCCGCTGGCAAAAAAAAATTGAGGGCATGTTATGTCCTTGATTTTTTTTTTGCCGGTTGTTTGAGAGTGCTGGTTGCTTGAATGCTAGATAATGGGGAGTTTACTGTATAGGGGCAGATGCGGAGGGTCTCACCGGGGGCAGATTTGGAGGGTCTTAGCAGGGACAGATGCAGAGGGTTTCAGCAAAGGCAGATGCAGAGGGTCTCACCCGGGGCAGATGCGGAGGGTCTCAGCAGTGGCAGATGCGGAGGGTATCACCAATTCTCACCAGGGGCAGATGCGGAGGGTCTCACCAGGGGCAGATGCAAAGGATCTGGCCAGGTCTCACCAGGGGCAGATGCAGAGGGTCACATCAGGGGCATATGTAAAGGGTCTGATCAGGGGCAGATGCAGAGGGTCTCACTAGGGACAGATGCAGAGGGGCTCACCAGTGTTCACCAGGGGAATATGCAGAGGTTCATACCACTCTCACCAGGGGTAGATGCAGAGGCTCTCACCAGGTCTCACCAGGGGCAGATGCAGAGAGTCTCCCCAGGAGCAGATGCAGAGGGTCTCACCAGGGGCAGATGCAGAGGGTCTCACCAGCGGCAGATGCAGAGTATCTTACCAGGGGAAGATGCAGAGGGTCTCACCAGGGTAATGTGTGGTCCAGCGATGTAAACAGGTGCCACTGTCGTTCCCCAGTAGGCTGGCTAGAGGTCCCCAGCAAGTGCGGGACCTTACGGCAGCTGAATCATGCATCTTTACAGATGGTAGGTCAGCCCCTGACACAGACACCGGCAGTTTCAGACACAGGCTGGAAACTGCTACTAGAGGAGGATGGGTGACCAGATTCCACACTGGTGGTACTGCTGCCTTTTTCTGTCTGCTGCTGGGGGTGGGGGGCAGCTGCTGTGGGCGCCTGTAAATTATTTTATCCCATTGAGGAAACTTCCTCTCAGTTCTTGTCTCTGTGAAACCCATGCAAGGAATGGGGAGTGTGGCTGTCACTAGGGCAGAAAAAAACATTGCAAGTTCTAACCATTCCCCTAAAAGCATCTGTGTTTTATCCGTATCCCCACTGCATGGATT